GTAGCCCTAGCGTTCTTTAGACCGAATGGCATTGTGAGGTAGCAGAACGATCCGAATGGGGTGATGAAAGATGTCACGAGCTGGTCGGACTCTTTCATCATGATTTGATAGTACCCGGAGTACACATCAAGGAAGCAGAGGGTTTCACACCCTGAGGTAGAGTCGACTATCTGGTCTATGCATGGCAAAGGAAACAAATCCTTTAGGCACGCTTTGTTGAGACCCGTGTAGTCAACACACATCCTCCATTTCCCACTCTTCTTTCGTACAAGAACGGGATTGGCTAGCCACTCGGGGTGGTACACCTCCTTGATGAATCCGACCGCCAAAAGCTTTGCGATCTCCTCATCGATGGTCCTGCGTTTTCCCTCGTCGAAGCGACGTAGGCGTTGCTTCACCGGCTTGGAGCCTGGGTGGATTTTTAAGGCATGATCGGTGACTTCCCTTGGAATGCCAGGCATGTCTAAGGGTTTCCACACAAAGATGTCTCTGTTGGCGCGGATGAAGTCAACGAGCGTGTTTTCCTATTTAGAGGAAAGTGTGGTGCCAACGCGCACCACCTTGCTCTCGGGGCTACCGGGGTCTATGAGGACCTCCTTGGAGCCCTCCGCTGGCTCAAAAGACCTGGTCGACCGCTTGGGGTCGGGTGCTTCTTCGGCGACCTCCTTCCTGATGGTCGCAAGCTCTCTAGAGGCGACGATTGCTGCGGCGTGATCGCAGTACTCAACCTTGCACTCGTAGGCATGCTGGAAGGAGGTGCCGACGGTGATGACCCCACCTAGGCCCCGTATCTTCAGCTTGAGGTAGGTGTAGTTGGGGACGGCCATGAACTTCGCATAGCATGGTCATCCCAGGATGGCGTGGTAGGCTCCGTGGAACCCAACCACTTTGAAGGTGAGGGTCTCCGTCCTATAGTTCGATGGACCCCCAAAGGTGACGGGCAGATCGATCTGTCCAAGTGGCATGGCCTGCTTTCTAGGCACGATGCCGTGGAAAGGCGCTCCGATCGGCTGGATGCATGCTCGGTCGATGCCCATGGTGTCGAGCATCTCGGCATACATGATGCTGAGGCTGCTGCCTCCATCCATCAGTACCTTGGTGAGCCGCTTTGTGTCGACGATCGGGTCGATCACGAGCAGGTATCTCCTAGGTTGCGGGATGTTCTCTGGGTGGTCGGTCTAATCAAAGGTTATGGTGGACTCCGACCATCGGAGGAAGGCAGGCGTGGCTGACTCAGTCATATAGATCTCGCGGCGCGTGAGCTTCTGACGACGCTTGGAGTCGAAGGCTACTGACCCTCCGAAGATCATGAGGCAGCCATCCGGCATCGGAAAGCCACCGTCCTTCCCCTCGGCATCATCCGTGGTTGGATCGGGGTCCTTCCCGTGCTCCCATTTGTTGGAGCCTCTGGACAAGAACCGCTTCATAAGGTCGCAGTCCTTGTACAAATGCTTGACGAAGAAGGTATGGTTCGGACATGGCCCCTCGAGTAACTTCTCGAAGTGGTTCGGAGTGCCCTCCGTGGGTTTCTGACCACCCTTTCGGTCGGCGGCGGCCAGGAGCTAGCCCTCGCGCCGCTGCTTGTTCTTCTTCTTGGTGGGACGGTTGGAGGCGCCTTCGCCGACATCCTCGTCCCATTTCGCCTTGCCCTTGAGGCGGTCGAAGATCGCTCTGACCGCCTCTTCGCCCGAGGCATGGCTGGTGGCGATGTCGAGGAGCTCCTTGGTGGTTCGCGGGCTTTTGCGTCCTAGCTTGTGAACCAGGGATTCATAGGTGGTCCCAGATAGGAAAGCTCTTATAACGTTGGCGTTGGTGAAGTTAGGTAGCTCGTTGCACTGCCGGAAGAAGCGTCGGATATACACCCACGGAGGGTTTCTCCGGCCTTCTATCGCCAGTTCTTGAGATCCCATGGGTTCCCATGGCGCTTGTATGTGCCTTGGAAATTCCCCACGAAGATCTCTTTTAGATCCACCCAACTTTAGATGCTGTTGGGCGAAAGGTGTTCCAACCATGTTCGCGCCGAATCAGCTAGGAACAATGGAAGGTTGCGGATAATGAAATCATCATTATCCGCTCCACCGGCTTGGTAGGCAAGCCGATAATCCTCGAGCCACAGTCCGGGGTTCCTTTCCCCAGAGTATTTTAGGATGTTGGTTGGTGGCGGTACCTTGCCGAGAAGGCAGCGTTGAGGATGTGTCGGCTGAAGGCCTGAGGCCTCGGCCTGCTCGGGGCTCGGGCTTCGGTCTTCGGCATTGTGGTAGTGTCCACCACGACGAGGGTGATAGCCGTGGCTGGCCCCCTCCCCTGCATCGCCGTGGCACGCCTGCGGGTGTCGAGGGTGTCACGGGCGCCACGGGCGTCACGATTGCGGCCAAGGCGCTCATGCACCAGAACCGTGATGCGTGGCCTACCGCCTTGTGGCGCCTGGTGGACCGATACATCCTTGTCAGGTTGTTGTGAGGGCATGCGCTAGCTGGCGTCGAGTTCGCGTCGCCGAGACAACGAGCTCTCAGCCTGCTGCGCCACCGCGCGTTCGAGCAGTGTGCGAATCTTGTGATGGGCCCGACGCTCATCAGGTGTCGTGGCTCCCGAAAGCCCACGGAGCAAGGCCACCGCAGCAACGATGTTCTGGCTTGTCCGGGCGAAGTGTGGGAGGGCGTCATCATCCTCGATGATCCTCTGGTTTATGTCGTGGGATATGGCGCATGCGTGCCCACCGTCTCCATGGCGCTCGATCTCATGATCGAGCTCCGCGCATTCCTGCTCGAGCTGGAGTCGCGCTTCCTCGAGCTCTCAGTGTTGGGCCTTCAGCTGTTCCACCCACATGCGAGGTGGGGCCACTATCTCCTCCTCAACCTCGTCGTCGAGGTCATTCATCGGGGTAGCCTCCTCCTCGTGGATGCTTTTGACGTGTCCCTCGAGGGTACCTGTCATGAAGCATTCACGAGAGGGGTGTTGGCTCCCCCTGCTGAGAGTCAGAGCCAAAGGGCGATTCCAGCTCCTCTACGAGGAGGTCATGGAAAGACTCCACGACGTGTTCGATCACCCCCATGAACTCGTCGTTCATGGGGGATGGAATCATGCGTTGCGCCACAAGGTGGCTAACGGTCTCTGCGGCGTTGCGAAGACCGAATGGGAGCACTGTTGGGGCGCTCCGGATGAGGTATTCTGGGGAGAGTGGCTCTCCCCTAGTAAGCTGCGCCATGACATTGGCGAATGAGAAGGTGAGGTGGCGTAGGCCCTCCCATAACGGTTGGGGTCCCAGGAAGACGTCGAGTTGACGCTCCAACCTCCCGTAGTCGAAGTCGAGAAGCTGGCCGCTCCTAGGGGCGCGGGCCTCCGGCGCATGCAGCCGTAGCTCCTCGAGCACCTCGGTGATCGCGTCGAGGCCGGTGGAGTGGAGGGGTTGAACAACGACGAGCGCCCGCACCAGCTCTCCCTTTGCCGTGACGATGAAGTCAAGGTCCCCGAAGCGCACGTGTGCGTCCGAGACCCAGCTGATGCCGTGACTAGCCATCCGAGGTCTGGTGTTGATGTCGAGACACGCAAAGGCCCCTGCCTGGCGTGTCAACTATCGATGTTTCGAGTAAACGCCAACGAGTAAATTTGTATTATTATGCGTTTGGCTCGGATGATGTGCTAAGAGGACACGAGGTTTATACTGGTTCAGGTAGAAAGTCCCTACGTCCAGTTCGTTGCTGCTGCTCGTGTTACTAGCACTGAAAAGTTCATAGTAGGGGTTACAAACGGGTGAGAGAGGGACTGGTCCCAAGTCTCTGGTGGTGTGTGTGTGTGTGATGTTTTGATGCGATGTGTTGAACCGATGCCCCTTAGTGGGGTGCCCTGCCTTTCCTTTTATAGGCTAAGGAAAACCACGGGTTACAACGGGAGAAAAGAGAAGAACGAGAGGAAGAGAAAGTCCTTCAGGGTCGTCGGACCTTTCCTTTCCTTTGTGCGGGCCTTGCTAACACGGCCGGTGGTGACAGGGACAGCCCCACGCCAGACGCCTGTCCGCCTGATGATGCCATGCCCTGGTGTTGTCAGCGGGTTGTGACGTTCCATCCCCCCCCCGACGGGTGACGCGGCAACCTAGCGTGCTGATGAGCGACCATACAGGGAGTAGGCGGCACAGTGACCACGCGTTCGTCACTGTGGACGATATGAGACCTCTGGAATGACATGTCGTGAGGACGGGTCGTGTTGAGACGTGACTGCTCCCTGCACGATGCCAGAAGTTTGACCTTGGGTTGTACTTTCTAGCCCGTAGTGGTTGGCGGCGACGTGAGCTTCCTTCAAGAGCCATGCCCGAGGGATTGGGCGAGGCGAGAGCCCGCCTTCGGGGGTTGGACGAGGCGGAGCCCAACCCTTGGGGGTCGGGCGAGATGGAGCCCACGACCTCAATGTCCACCGAGGCAGAGCCCACCCTCGGTGGTCGGACGAGACAGAGCCCATGGCCTCGGTGGTCGGACGAGGCGGAGCCCAGCAAGAGGTGTAGTTGCGCTCTTGACCGCTTCGGATAGATCAACGTTGATGATTATTAGCTCCTCCTCTTCGGGTACCCTAGTATTGATCCCCAGCAATTATCTACTATCGCCCTGTTCACTTGGCTTATAAGCCGTTTTTTTTTCAAGCCAACGAATAATATTTCCTCTTATAACAAATTAGCCAACAGTCCTTTCACATGACTTATCAGCCAAGCGAACGGGACATATAACTTTTGCTTCTAACAAAAATAGCACGATCTGCTGCTGCTATTTCGTTCTATTGTACTCCTACTTTTCATATTGATCAGTCCTTTCAATGCCGGTTTTTTAGTTTTGCTAATGCAATAGAATCGAGTTACTAGATTGTTACTACTACAGTATTACTGCTGTCTCAGGGAGAAGGCAAATGCATGTTCTTGGGGCATCATGGCGTTTGCTTTTAAGCAGACACGCATAAATCTATGTACTGATGTTAAAGGAAGTATGCAGGATAGGATTTTGACACCTACTACTCACCCCGTATTGTTGCTAGCCGTAGATGGAATGCTAGGAGGTACAGGTGTGGAGAAATTGATGCCCTGCGCCGCGAATGCTGCGAGGAGAGAGACCAAAAAGAAAAGATAAGATTTGGAAAAAGAATTTTATGTTATCCTTACTCAATTTTAGCAGTTTATTAGTATATTCGGTGGTCGTATTTGCAAGGTACATACCCCCTCTGCTGGCTTCCAAACCCGTGTCTTTCTTGCTCTGCTTTCCAAGCCTGTATTTCTGCGCACAAGAGATCGTCGTCGTCAACAAGACAACAAGGACGAGACATCACCGGAGAAAGCGATACATGGACAACATTTTATCTACTAGTACACATGAATTTGGAGAGAAGATATCGAAGTAGGTGGTGGTACCTGGAGATGACTCTTCAAGTGGTACAAGGTGAGCCCTTTCATTCCCATCAGCCTCAGCACTGACTTGGGAGTCGCCTCTGTTGTCGCGCACAGCACAATCAAGTAGAAAACGATGTCAGATTAAGAAACCCCGAAACAGGAGTTGTAATCACAACCAGGATTTTTAAAAAAAGGCTCCAATATAATACATGGTCAGTAAAAAAACATGATCAGTGAAGCTGTTAATCGCCGGAACAGGGAACACTATACATGGTCTGATGATCACCATGTAGTATAGATGCAGTTGATGATCAAGTGTTTTTGGAATCTTTGAGCATGCTCGTACTAAGCCAATCAACGAGAGCAGATGGGTTCGAAGCTGGAGCATGCATGCTGCTGTGTTAGCTTTGCTGTTGCAATGAACTGATGGGAGCTTTGGGCTGTGTCTGAAGTCTGAAGAATCCATGCATGGCATGATAGCAGCTGTACAAGAAGAGAGCAGGCAAGCAGCAGAGGAGTGCATGCGGTGCAGGGGTACTCACTGTCGGGCCCGCCGAGCTTGGTGACGGCCTCGACGAAGCGCTCGTGCAGGTCGGGCGTCCACCGCAGCCGCGGCTTGGGGTCCCGCGACAGCACCACCCCGCCCATCGGCCCAGCGCCGCCGTACCCGGCCCTCTCCATCCCCTCGAACATGCTCATCGCGTGGCCTGCTTGTGTCTCCCGCGGCCTCCTAGCTAGCTCCCCGCGGCCGGGCCCGGCTTGTCGATCACCGCGCAGCTGGTGTGGTTCGCCGCGCGAAACAGCTAGCAGCTCGAGCTGCAACTAGCAAGCAAGCAGCTTGCGCAGGCACACGCACGCATGTAGGCACGTCCGCCAGGCCAAGCTGCAGCTAGCTTGCGGGCGGCTAGCTAGAGGCAGCTGCCGCACGGCTGGCGCGCGGTGTGAATCTGGTGCGCTCGGGGAGGAGAGGTAGCGTAGGTTTTCGGCGAAGCCCGAGGCGGATTCCGGCCTGACGGGAATGTGCGATGAGTGTCGCGTTCGAAAGCTGGGCGGAGAGACAGAGATAGAGAGAGGAGCGCCGAGCGCATCGGCATCGCCATGCCATTATAATCATCATGTACTCACCTCACTCATGTGTGCGCGGAATCTCGGTGAGCCTTGTGCCAGGGGGCAAGCCCGGCCGGAACAGAGCTAACAAACGCCAAGGACGCCCAACCGGGGCGCGCCGCGTGGACGCCGCCGCCCGGGAGCGGAGTCGCTGGCACCGCGCGCCCGCGGCCGTCAGATGGTGCCATGCGAGGACGACCCACGCTCACGCACGTTCGATTCGCCGTCTCTCTCTCTTGTGGGTTCAGACAGACTCAAGGCAGGGAGGGACAGGACAGGTCAAGGGGCATGTGCGGCGGCGCGCCACGTGGACGCCGGCCCCCGACAAGAGCGGGGCTGGCATGTGTGCGTGCCGTGTCTTCCGGGCGTAGGCCAGAGACGCTGTCTGATCGCTGCTAGATTTGCCTCGAGAACCAATTCTGTGCAGTGCACTGTATGGAGTGCGTACGTGCGTAGGCGTAGGCGTAGGCGCGCCATGTGCCCACCCCATCCCCGGCGCCCGGCGGTCAATGCAGGCAGTTACCAGAGCCGGCCGGGATCACCAATCACGAACGGCTCCTATACCGGTGCCAACCGAGGTGAACGAACGCGACGGAATTATTAACGGCTCGCGAGAACGACCAGTACTATGCGCGTCAGGGGATATGCCATGGGCGATGGAATGCATGGCTGATCGATCGATCGACGATGATAGCGAGAGCTGCGCACGGCCTTTGCCGCCTTTGCCGATGGACGGCAGAGAGAGGGACGCGGGGAGATGTTGCCGGTGGCGTCGCGTGGCCCCGGCCGGGAGGGGGAATATTCGTGGGCGCCAACTTGGCCGTGACCGCCGCCCCACCCGCCCTCCGTTCGTCGCCGCTCGCCCAATTTGCCTCTCGCGCTTTTCGCCTTGCCGTTTCCTCGAACGGCTGGCCCTGGCTGGCTCGGAGCCGGCGCGCGTGTCTAGGTGGGGCGTCAGCGTGATCTCTGGCTAGCGTCGTGAGGTCGCGGAGCTCGATCGGTGCACCGACGGTTACAAGTCCCGCTGATGCACGGAGAGAGAAGGTGGCCACTTCCGATCAAACGCAGCTTGATGCCTTGATCAGAAAGAGCATGCCACGGAATTAATCTTCAGCCGTGCTGGATCCGTGATGTTCGTTTCGTGTGTGCGACTACTGGAGAGTGGAGACTGTGATGTGCTTCATGGCATGATTGTACGTCACATGGACATGGTTAGCTCTCTCACCTGTACCACTACAAAATGAGTCGTGCCTGCTCCCTAATATAAATATAAATTAAATTAATTGATCCTTGTACTGCTGTACCTGTACATGACCAGACAAAGGGATCCGAGGCGTGAAATTTTTAAACAGGCGGCTTAATTGGTGTCAATTAGGTGCGAGTGAATTGAGGCCGTGTTTAGTTCACGCACCGAATCGGCGCCGCCGAAATTTCGGTACTGTAGCTACAGTACCGTTTTGTTTTTATTTGGTAATAATTGTCCAGTCGTTGACTGATTAATTGAAAAAAACGTTCGCCTTCAAAGTACAAACCAAATCTATGCAATTAGTTTTTAATTTAAATCGTCAACATTTAAGACTTTCATACACATTGTCTTGAAGTTTGATGTGATGGGGAATCTTCTTTTTGCATAGTGTCAAATTCTGAAATTGGGAGTAACTAAACATGGCCTGAATGTAGAGATTGATGAAACAGTGATTGTAATAAAGAAATATATGTAGAAAACTAAATGCCACTCCCATGTATAGGGCTACTGCAGGTCAGCTTGCGGTTGAAAGATTCTTCTTTGGGGCCGGGGCAGCATATAGATTCGAGAAGCTAGCTAGTAGCTATCCTACGATTCGTTTGTCTTTGTTCGCATTTCCACTCTATCCTCTACCCTACCCTAAAGTGAACGGCTTTCCGCGAGCATCGCATGCTTGGGTTTCAGTTTTGGGTCTGGAATCGTATGCTTAAAGTTGAAGGGGACGGAACAATTTCGATCAGTCGCTAGCGTGTCAGTAGCATCAAGTCGTGTTTAACTGTTTATGTAGTAGTACGGATGAGTGGTTTTTGCTGATAGCTCAAACCAACCCCAGTTCACAACCATCAGATATCCATTGAGCCGCCTGTGAATTCTGGAGGCACAATATACAGTAACATGCTGCGACTACTTGGTGACAGGACAGGGAGGCCACCGAACGATCAGCCCTCTCCCGGCCGTGTACGCCGTACGCGCGCACGCCTCGCGGTCGCGACACATGACAGCGGCGCACCGCGCGCCAGCCGCTCCACATGAGCCGAGGAGCGCGCGCATATGCGGAGCGGCCGGCGGGGCGGCGGCTTGTATTGACGAGATACATGCCGCTGGCCGTGTCCTAGCAGTAGTAGCAGAGGGGATCCGAGAACGCGCGCATGCAGGCCTCGTCCGCGCTACGCGGGTTGTTGGTTGTTGGGTGGTGGCGCGGCAGCGAGCCAGGGCGATGAGCTGTGCGGCCGTCGGGAACGGAACGGGGGAGGGAACACGCGGAATCTCTCGTGCTCGCCACTAGTACTTATCTTCTTACCGCACCGCCGGTCGGGCTCTCGTCCGGTCGCCCCAGCTTGGCGCGGAAGGGGCGAACCGGCAAGCCTGGGCGCCTGGCCCTGGCGCTGGGCGCCGGGCGCTCGGCGGGGTGCGCAACGCGACAAAGGGAGTGGCAGAATCAAGTCCGCGGTCCACATGGAAGCACTGTTCCAGTGTACCTTCTACGGGCCTACAGTACCACAAAAGTAGTATATATATTGTTTCATTTCTCTGTGCTTTAAGGTGGATTCGATACTTGCATGAGCGGAGTCGGCAATATTTTTTTTGCATAATTGATTTTGGTATTTCTTGAAAATCTCCCATACAATTTCCGAGAAACTGTCGAATTTTTTCATTCAAGTATCTACTGGAAAAGAATTATCTAGTAATATTAATTGGTTTGTGGTTGAGTCAAACAAAAATATTGCGAGGACTTGATAAAGTTTCCTCTTCAAAAGAAGAGTTCCTTACTAATGGCAGCTGGATGCCAATGGAACCACCAGTATCCACTAGTTCGTTACTTCTTTGGCATTCAGGAGTCAACCCTTGGTGACATACGGTGCTGATTATGACTTCTTCCAAGCCGCCATGGATTTGTTTTGATCTTTTTCACTGTTTAAAATGTTTAAAAACTAAGGAAATTTAAATGAAAAAAATGGCATTCCATTATCAATAATCAATTATAATTTGCAACCAAAATGACAAATAATCCATTATAATTTGCAAAACAAATGGTTGTCTTGGTTTACAATCTGCACACCAGATAGGCTCTCCTGATGTTGCATCAACCGACAAATATTCCATTAAAAATTGAAAAAAGAATTGTTATATTGATTTACAACAATTGGCACATCAAATGGGCGCTCTTGATGTTCCAATCAAAAGGGGGAAACATTATACTTTGATGTACATCGAATAGTGCTAATGACTGGCATACACATGACAGGACAAGTAACAAATTTGTTATCAACCTCTGAGGCTAGGGGGCACTGTATCTTATCTGCACTTCTGATTTCTGAAGTCAACAGCTCTGCAATTCAATCTCTAAGGTCCTGCATTTCCAAGTTCAGGTTCCTGTGTCATTGCAGATAACATCTATTTGATGATGAAAGGGCGTACCCAGTGCAGAGAGCTCCCGCTCTGTGCGGGGTCTGGGGAAGGGTATCAGTGGCAAGCCTTACCCTCGCATGTGCAATGCGAGGAGACCGCGACTCGAGCCCGGGACCTTCCGGTCACAGGCGGTAAGACTCTACCGCTTGCACCAGGCCCAAGAGAACCCTGTGTCATTGATTTCTGGCCCTCCTGAAAGCTACGAACGAAAAGAGGTCTCAGATTCAGTCCCCACTCCAAGATCACCAACAGATAGTGTTTGTACGGAGCAATTGATCAATGAGGCATACCGAAAAATGAAAATGATACATGAGGATTGCAAATTTGCAGTGCTCCCTCACACCACCTGCTTAGTATTAGCATTTAGCATTTAGCAGGAGAAATAGTAAGCAAAAAATTCAACCCAAAAGCTTCAAAAATCAACAACAAAAAGAGCCTACTCACATGATTAAACTAAGAACAGTTTCTAACACATACCAGTGACAGGCCATCCAGTATAAAAGGCTGCAGGGACCATATCCAATAGAAGAGGCTATCCTCATGACTCATCCTATTGGATATGGTTGAAGCTGTTGAACATCCCAGGGAAAGCTTTGGCTGCAGGCTTGGGCGTTTCACAGGCTCCAAAAAACGTTCCAAAACCGGAGGGTCTCATCAGCAGCAGCTGACGCTACTGTGCATCCATCAGGACCCTGCATAGCATGTTAACTGGTGTGAATAATTCACCTGAGCCATGAAAAGGACACGAGAGGTATGGCCAGTAAGTTCAGCCATCTTCACCATCGAAAGCATATAAGTTTGTTTATGTGCTGCTGATTATGACATCTTCCAAGCCGCCATGGAACTTTCCTTCGGTTCTGGATAAATTGATCTCGTTACACCTGCAAGTTCATCCTAAGTTGGAACATTCTGGAAGGAAGCCCGCAATTCTCTACATTCTATACTTTTGGAGTATGGAAATTGGTTTTGATCTTTTCAGAAAATGTTCATAAAGGAAACTTAAATGAAAAACGACTATGATATTCTATTATCTGACACAGGCTCTCTTGATGTTGCAACCAAAATGGCAAATTATAATTTGCAAAATAATGGTTGTATTGATTTACGACAGATAAATATTCCGTTAATTTGCAAATCAGATAGGCTCTCTTGATGTTGCATCCAACCGACAAATATTCCATTAAAAATTGCAAAAAGAGTTGCTGTCTTGATTTACAATAATTGGCACATCAAACGGGTGCTCTTGATGTTCCAACTAAAAGGGGGAAAACATTATACTTTGTACAGAATGCTACTGTTAATGACCAGCATACACAACACAGGACAAGTAACAAAATTGCTATCAACCTCTGAGGCTAGGGGCAGTATATCTTATCTGCACTTCTGATTTCTGAAGTCACCGACTCTGCAATTCAATCTCTAAGGCTCTACATTTCGAGGTTCTGGTTCCAGTATCATTGCAGATATCTACTTGATGAAGACGACGTCGATGAAGTGAACCCTATGTCATTGATTTCTGACCCTCCTGAAAGCTACCAACGGAAAGAGCATGTGTCAATTCAGTTCCCACTCCAAGATCACCAAGAGATGTGTCAATTCAGTTCCCACTCCAAGATCACCAAGAGATGTGTCAATTCAGTTCCCACTCCAAGATCACCAAGAGATAGTGCTTGTACTGAGAAATTGAGCAATGAGCATACCGAAAATGATGCATTAGGACTGCAGTGCTCCCTCATGCCACCTGCCATGGTAGGCAGATCTCATCTGCTTTAGAAAGAGAAATAGTAAGCAAAAAATTCAACCCAAAAGTTTCAAATCAATAACAAAAAGAGCTTAGTCACAGGATTAAACTAAGAACAGTTTCTAACACATACCAATGACAGCCATCCAGTATAAACAGTAGGCCGCTGGAACCATATCCAATAGAAGAGACTATCCTCATGACTCATCCTATCGGATGTGGTTGAAGCTGTTGAACATCCCAGTGTGGGAAGCTTTGGCTGCAGGCTTGGGCGTTTCAGGGGCTCCAAAAACGTTCCAGAACCGGAGGGTCTCATCTGCAGCAGCTGACGCTACTGTGCATCCATCAGGACTCTGCAGTTTCACCATGCAAGAACTATATAAGCAATGTTCACACACTAGCATGTACTCAATGCAGATTTTTTTTTTCGCGACTATGCCATGGCACAAATGCAGATAGTATCTGTTAACTGGTGTGAAGAATTCACCTGAGCCATGAAAAGGACACGAGAGGTATGGCCAGTAAGTTCAGCCATCTTCACCATCGATGGGTACTTCCACAAAGTCAGTTGGTTCTGTGTGAATCCATGTGAACTCAGCAGCTCCCTCTCATTCTTGTTCCAGAGAAGAGCGCACACTTGTGATCCGGTGTCAACTGAGTTCAGGCACGCACCGGTGTGTGTGTTCCAGAACTTGATGCACCGATCGCTGCCACCACCGCCAGTGGCGAGCAAGTTGCTCTGGAACGGACACCACGCGAGTGCCTTCACGGCGGCCATGTGGTCTTCGAGCCTATGCAGCCACTGGTTGCGGCCAGGAGATGGCATGGATGATGCCATCGACACATCCCAAATGTGCAGAAGATTGTCATTGCCTCCGCTGGCCAGCTGCTGCCCTGATCCAGACCACTTGAGCCCGCACACCTCCTGGCTGTGCCCCTCGTACGTCTGCACAACGTGGTCTCTAATCCTCACGTCATTGTTCACAATCTTGCCATCCATGCCACCGGTGGTCAGGATGCTGTTGTTCCATGCCAGTGAACCTACCCTTGCCTCATGCACACCTCTGAGTGTTCTCAACTGCATAGAAAGAACGATTTGATTCAGAAACAGAGAAACGTGCATTACAGTTTTTGGACGAAGCAGGACAATGCACGTACCAGTCGGTTGGAGCTGGTGTCCCAGAGCTGGACGTCAGACGAGTTGAGCCCGACAGCGATGTGCCGACCATCAGGAGCCCAGCTAACGCTGGTAATAGGACCGCTGTCCTCATCGATGGTCACAAGCTCGGATGTGGATCCGCTCGATGCATCCCACAGGTACAGTGTGTCTCCCAGAGCAATGGACAGCACATTGTTGCTCCCCCAGTCGAGCAGGTTGAGGTAGTAGTCATCAACAAGCTCTGGTGCGTCTAGGGTCCTCTCGGCAGACTGCACATTTTGATTCAACCGCATCAGTGATCCACCATTCTCCCATCACACCACATCCGTTGCATAAGATGGATAGAAGCGGAATCAGAAGATCTATTGCGCATACCTGGGGAATGTGGCGCCGCTGCTTGGCAGGCTTGGCTTGCAGGTTGGAGGAAGCCGCGTCGGCGAAAGATATGTTCTCGGGCTCCGGCGGCTTGTTCCTGAAGGCGAGGATCCGTGTCCGGTTGTTGAGCAGCTTCTCCGCGAGCAGCCTCCGGTACGCCTCCTTGGACGGGGACGCCGCCGCGTTCTCCTTGTCCTTCCTGGGCTCAGTGAGCAGGTAGTGTGCCATGTCCATGTCCATCGCGGATCTGTCCGGGATGAACCTATCGCCCTGCAGGACACAAACAGGAGGAGGAGAACCAGCCAAGCTTGGTCAGGCAAACCATCGAACACCCACCCTACTCGATCCAGTAGCAAGAGAAGGGACTCACGTAGCACTTGGCCGACGGGTTACGGCATCCCAAGCCCAGCGATGGCATGTAGGGGCGGGAGACCGCCTCCTGCAGCGGCGGCCGGGGCGCGGCGGCGGCGCGGCTCTTCTCTGAGGAGATCGAGTGGGAGCCTGCGTCCATGGTTAGAGCAAACAAAAGAACAGGGCAAGCACAACAGGGAAATAACAACAGCGAAAGCGATTGAATTAAACGCTAACTAAATAATAGCAGGTTAGAATCAAACACAAAATAAGATGGCGTAATCAAACAAGAAGATTAACAGCGAAAAAAAAAAGAGACGGAGAATTAAGAGAGTTTATGAACTAGGCGAGAAGTGCGCGTGTCTCGACTCCCCGCGAGCGCTTGAGATCGTCGTGGGGAGGCGAGGAGAATGAGCGAAGGAGAGAGAATTGCTGCTTTGCTTTGTGGGGTTTAGGGATCGGCCGCGAATGATATTTGTAGCAAGAGGAGTGAAGAGGGGAACGCCCGCCGCACCGCACGGCCAAGGCCAACGGCTAGTACGCCGAGGAGGCCAGGGGAGGAGAAAATAGCCGTTGCGGGCTCTAGGGCTGGCTGGTGCGAGGCTCTACCCTCGTGGCGGCGTTTGGGCCCGATTGTGGGGGTGACAATAGCCCGGTTCTCGGGTTTCTTTTTTTTTTTTAAAAGTCTCGATGGTTTTTTTTGAGCAACAGAAGTCCCGATGTTGTTGTTGGATCTTGATCGGAGGAGTCGAGACGTACGCTTTGCTGTACGGCAGCGTCATTGCGTCAGTCATTTGGGCAAATAACGCGTTACTTGTACGAGACTGAATGGACTTGTCTGGCATTATACGTGTGATTATTACCACGCTGTGACTTGTGTCGAGGTTTCCAGCCATGCTCGTATTGCCCTTTCTTTTTTTTTTTTTTTTGCAATTCCCCTTACTGCAGCCGGAGCGACTACAAGGCTAGTCCCAATGTGAGGTTTCATCACACAGTTACCAAGACTGCCACATCAGCTTTTGTGTTGGTAACTGTGACAGCGGGTTTCATCTAGATGAAACTCTATCTGTCTCTCTTCATAATTAACCTGTCAACTCAGCAATTTGCTGATGTGTCACAACATTAAATGAGAATAAAACTCTTTTGAAACTCTCGGGCCTGTTCGCTTGAACTACTTTTCAGCCGAGTCAACATATTTCAACTTATTCTCCCTCACAAAAAAAAATCAACCGGCTTTAATACCAAAGTCCTGTTGGCCTAAGGAGCAGTGATAAGGACAGGATGGCGTGTCCAAGTCCAACTTTCAAGCATGGAATCGGAAAACAATTGGCTCATATCAGACAATCCTGGAGTTGCGGACAAAATTTTAATATGTACTACAAATAACAAAACGTGTTTAACTCGAAGTACCAAACCATCCATGTTTCCTGTTTATTTCACCTGGATATCCATCACTAGCATTGGGATTCCAAGTCAGAGGTGATTAATCTTTCAGTGTACTTCACCTGTATCCATCTCAAGGGTTGGCATAGGCCTTCAGAGGCGATTAATTCAACCTACCACCCGTTGGAATCGACCTCCCCAGTTCGCACAAGTTTAATACTAGAACTTTCGAATTTCACTGATTTTCAACTTCCAGCTTAATCTGCCTCCTATTGCTAGTTAAATTTGCCACTGTAATACAGCTCTGCAAAACGATCAGAATGCTAGTTTAGTAAACCAATTGTAGCTACGTATTCACTGCCAAGCATTTACAGCTCCAGAAAACATATGAACCCCAGAATCAGTGTACCACATGGTTAGAACAGGCTCTTTAGCATGAATGGTGTGAACAAATTCAAGGATGGCCATAAGATCCATCACCAGTCACAAAGCTAAGCGCAGACGCAGCCTTGGCAGTTGAGCTCCATCATTCTGTTTCTCCTGTTTTCTGAAAGGTGTTCCCTCCCTCTTGAAGATGGATTTGAGATGGGCGGCAGGGTGTTTCTCTTGAACATTCTGTTGGATGAGGTGTTCACTTGCAGTCAAATTTCAAAAGAGACATGGTATGTTCCTAAAACATATATTCAGAGAGTCCTCGTTTAGACAGTCTCAGCCTAGCACATATATTGTATGGGACATAATAAGAACTCCAGAAATGTCAACCGCAAATAACTACTGTCTACTGGATCAAAGTGTACAAAGTACAAAGACATGCAAGCATGACATGATTATTAGGTTCTATGCAGTGATGCAAGGTTATGACTCCCTTTGCAACTGTCCAGTGTTTCAGGTAGTTGGACTTGTCCTTTTAGTTTCTGAAAGCACACTACAGCATAATGTCCGTAAAATACGGAGGAACGGAGAAGGCATGACTTGCATTTCCCAACTTCCTATGGCATGAATAACAGCAAAGATGCCAAGTTCAAAGAGTGTGAGTTTTCCATCTTTCTCGTGGCCGTTCTTAATGATGATAATGATCTGAAATCTGATAGCCACTTTGACCTCTTCTAAGAATGTTCAAGAGAAACTTTTAGGAAATGATTGGTGTTGATATAAACATATTCTGTTATCTGTTCATCAATTTTACGTGGCAACCAAATTTCCGTACTACTGCGGCACTGCCCACATGCCAATTACATTTTGCCTTTTACCATGACGTTGTATATATATCACTAGCAGCACACTCAAACTACTTCGCAAGGATGGTTTTCAGCAACTAGTTTCTCAACAGCGTGTCGGCTATCTGGTCTGTCAAAATAATCTTGGTATTGTTCTCTTCTCTTTACTTTCAGTTTTTCATACTATTGGCAGGATGAAAATGCTAGATTGAATCTGCCGGCTTGTTTATACCAACCTGAAGAAACAATATATGTATCTAAAGAATGAAGTTTTGCTTACATTATGAATTACTGTCTTTGAGATTTAAACATACCACCTTTTCAACTATTGGACTTGTAGTGCATTGTTTAGAAGATTTCAAGAAGGTAAAGGGCACTTTGGTCATTGTCAATACTTGTACTAGTCTGTGTTCTGCTGATTAATTGTTGAGCTTGGTAGTTGAAGCACAAACTAGCAAGATTAATATTTTTAGGAGTAGGGCGCAAATAAAGACGCAAGGCAGTTTGTTGGGTCCTAAGGAAGCAAAAAGGCTTCCTGTCTCATCCATGTGCTAATAAAACTCCACACGGAAAAGATAGAGAGAAACAGATTGCCTAGCTTAAACCTTGAGTACTCTCTTCCTCTCAAACAATCAAACCAACTAAGCCAGCTGCAATCTTCTCTGCCTAATCAACTCCATCGGTGTTTCATACAAGTTGAGTCATCTTTTCCCTCAATTCATGGGCACCAGCTAATAATTTTTGTCTATTTCAGATCCTCTAGAATGTCTATTTCAGATCCTCTAGCATGCTACTTCTATGTTTCTTAATCAGTTTTGTCTCCTGCCTTTGCTTCTTCCTAAATGTTTTGCTACTTTAGATACTTATATGGTGCATATAGTTCCTAAATGCTGTATTTTTTTTTTATCTTGAGTGAAGGTAACCAGGGCCAAAATGATTGCTGGGGGAGGCTATTTTGATGGTTCTCATGATCATATTCTCATGGAAGGATCAATGATCCATGATTCTTCCCAATCTTCCATCTATGACAATACAGATGTTGAACAGCAGAACTTCAGACTTGCGCCCTTTATCATAGAAGATCACTCCAATCCAGCCAACCTTACCTCTGAGCCTGCAAGGGTGATCGAGCAAATTCAACACCAGCTTGGGATTGACATGGAGCAGGACCATAGTGATCACATGATCCAAGAAGTTCCTCCAGCAGAAACTGCAAATTTGGTTCCTGCTGTCTATGGTGTCCAAGATCATATCCTCAGCCACCAGATCGAAGGTCCACATAACATAACTGTGGAACAACAGGTCCTGGACTATGACCCTGCATCATATCGGAATGGCACTTATGCAGCTGCACATGATCTTCTAAATTCTCTACAGATCCAAAGGTGCAGTCTGATTCCTGAATTTCCTTCGACAGAACATATCTTCGGTGATCCAGCACAGAACATGGTCAACCATTTGGACATTACCAATGACCTTCAAGGAGTAGCAATTCATGAAAGTGGAATGATGTTCAGCGATTCAACTCTACCATTAGGTTATCATGCTACTCAATCTCATATGTTGAAGGATCTCTATCATTCACTACCACAAAACTATGGGTTATTTACCAGTGATGATGAGAGAGATGGGATGGTCGGGGTAGCAGGGGTCTCAGGAAATATTTTCCAGGAGATAGATGGGAGGCAGTTCGACAGCCCAGTACTGGGGAGTAGAAGACAGAAAGGTGGATTTGGCAAGGGCAAGGGAAAAGCTAACTTTGCAACTGAAAGAGAGAGGAGGGAGCAGCTAAATGTGAAGTATGGGGCTTTAAGATCACTGTTCCCAAACCCTACTAAGGTTTGTATAACTTATCTTTCCACGCACAAATTCCTTAATTGTTTGTCTCATTACAGAAAACTCATTTTCCACAGTTGCATGGATTTCTAGAACATTTAGTAAGTTCTATTCGTACAGGATGTAATGGAATATGTATTCAGATTGTTTTCCCTAGGAAAAATAAAATTGAAACAAATGTGTGTATGATAAAAAAAACTTTATTAAAGATGGATTCGTCGTTAGCAAACTCTTATAAAGTGGTATTAGTTCAAGTATGTGGAGGAAGGCGATCATGGATTTTTTGCATGTATTCAGTGGACAGATGCACGTAAATTGATCTTTAGTATCAGCATCCAACAAAATAGAATGAAATTATAAAATATGCGAGATAAGAGATTTTCCATTCCAGAAACTCTAGTTATGACCAGCACAATGCAATATTCTTTTTCTTTCCTAAATCTACATTTACTTGTACTCTTAGTGAATAAGATGCTATGAATTCTGAATTGCTGTAAAACTATTCTCCAGAATGACAGGGCCTCTATAGTTGGAGATGCCATTGACTACATCAATGAGCTTAATAGAACAGTGAAAGAACTGAAGATCCTACTGGAAAAGAAGAGGAACAGCACTGACAGGAGGAAGATACTGACGTTGGATGATGAGGCAGCTGATGATGGGGAAAGCTCTTCAATGCAGCCAGTGAGTGATGATCAAAACAATCAGATGAATGGGGCTATAAGGAGCTCCTGGGTTCAAAGGAGGTCCAAGGAGTGCGACGTTGATGTCCGCATAGTTGATGATGAAATAAATATCAAGTTCACAGAGAAGAAGAGAGCCAACTCTTTGCTTTGTGCTGCAAAGGTTCTAGAGGAGTTTCGTCTTGAGCTCATCCATGTTGTTGGGGGAATCATAGGAGATCACCATATATTCATGTTCAATACAAAGGTAACGAACAAATTTTCTTACACAAAAGTAGGTTCCTGATCCTTTTCCCTGTGTCTGTAGCACAGACATTAGTTATAATACTTCATATCTTGATACTGCAGATACCTAAGGGCTCTTCGGTGTACGCATGCGCAGTGGCTAAGAAGCTCCTCGAAGCTGTGGAGATAAAGAAGCAGACTCTTAATATCTTCAACTAGCCATACCCATCATAATGTTTATTCAGACAACTTAGCATGCTGGTCTTCTCTATAGCATCTAATAAGGTGCTTACTTATCAGAGAATGACCACGTTGACAAGACTTCTTTGATGACTGCTGCAAACTTTCTTGATAGCTTGTTCATGCTGAACTTCTTGTCTTCTTTTCTGTACACTTTAACAGTCATGTTGGAATATGTGGTGCTTCTGATTTGCCGGCATTGCCACTCAATACTTTATTATGTCTAATTCCTTTTCTGAACTTATATAGCAGATCGATTCCACTACCCAACTTACATATGTCAGGCTCAGGTCTAGTGAATGTGTTTGTTTCACAGGAAATGCTACATCTTGATTCTATAAAAAGCTGGTATACACCCAATAATATGATCCGTGTGAAATTTGTCTTGGAGTCATGACACAGAATTGTGGTAGGAATTGTTACTGCATGCTGGCTGGGATGAGATCCTTACCGCGCTATACACAGGACAATCGGTGTGGGTTTCTCCTACAGTCACAGAGTAAATCACGCTCATGAAACAGATGACGTCTGGAGATCTAAACGAGTTACCTGAACTCCTGGGGGAATCAATCAATCGAATAGTAAGCAAAACTACAAAAGGATACAAGGATTGGAATTAATTTGGCCAGCCGCACCCGTACTAGTCAAGATTGCCGTGTTTGAAGAGGCTGACGAACTGGAGCAGGACTGCAGGTGTAGTAGTTGATCCGAACATAAATAATCATTCCACTCCGCTCTTGTACCTGATCTCGCAGATCTCCAGTGCAGTGTGCAGCCGCAGTTTGCTGCCCTAGTCATCTGGCATGTTGCATGGTCTTTAATGTGGCGGAGTTGCTGAATCCTCACGCATAAGGCCAACGTTTAAACTACCCACATTAGTCACATACTTAGCGCCCCTTTGGAACGCAGGATTTTCATAGGCATGTAGAAATTTTACATGATTCAATTCGATTTTATAGGAAAAACACAGGTTTTAGAAATTTTCCTACGTTCCCAAGGGACCTTATAGATAATAAAACTAAAGCATAAAATGCATAATTTAGATGATATTCGGTATTCGTGTTAAATTGTACAACAAACTTGATGAAAGGGGCGTACCCAGTGCAGAGAGCTCCCGCTCTGTGCAGGGTCTAGGGAAGGGTGTCAGTGGCAAGCCTTACCCTCGCCTGTGCAATGCGAGGAGACCGCGACTCGAACCCGGGACCTTCCGGTCACAGGCAGCAAGACTCTATCGCTTGCCCTGGGCCCGCCCTTCTACAACAAACTTGATGAAAACATAAAAATGATTAGAAAATTACCTAACTGATGGTGATTTGGTTCGTCCTTGCCTCCTGTATGTTCATCAGAATAGTCACTGAACTTGAATTAACACATAAAAGTTGGACACTTAAAAGAAATCAGAGATGCAATTTTCACTGAAGACAATTAATTAATGAACAAATGGTCCGATTCAACCAATTCTGTTTGTCCAAGTCCACAAAAATTCGGCACAAATATATAATCGATTTCAATCTGTGCAATTGAAATATAGATGAAGAAGTATGATATGCCATGGACTCATGGGGATTGCCACTTGCCAGATTGGGAGATTGAGACTTCAGAAGGCATAAACAAAAAAAGTAAATCGATACAAGCAGCTGCAGTGCGCCAATCGCAAACCCTGATGTTCTTTTCGAGCTTCCGTGAGACGGCCAGCCGCCCAGCCCAGATGAGATTAGTAGCACTCACCACTCACCGGCAGCACGCCAAGCCGCCAATGCCGGTCGGCGGCTACCCGGCTGCACAAGCAGGGCGCGCGCCACGTGCTGCCACGCGCGCAGGAGAGGCCGCACGCCTGCAGCACAACCCGGTTTGTTTGCACCGCTGGTTGCCCCTCGATTTGGCCGAGCTAGCGCTAGGATTTCATGATGTGGATGTGGAGGGAGGAAGCAGCCGAGGGAAGAGGGATGACGACACGCGGGCGCATACCAGGTGCGCGAGAGGAGAGGCGAAAATTGGACCGGATCGGAAAATTGGTCCGTAACCGTTTCGGACAAGGACTCGTCTGCGAGTCTGATGAGAGCTGGAGGGCTTAAGTATAAGAGCCACAGGCATCCGGCCTAGAGTAGGGAGGAGCAAACTTTCCCCAATTCTACTGCGAGCGGCGGCGTTCGGCTGATTGCCCGCCGTCTCCTGAGGTTGCCATGTCGCCGTTCGGCCCATGGGCGGGCCTCCCCTCAGAGCTCCTCCTCTTCATAAGTAATGGCTGCGGCCTCCCGTTCAAATCCTACTGCCGCGTCCGCGGCGTCTGCACCGCGTGGCGTGCGCCGCCCTCCCGCCGTCGATCCCTTCACTCATCACCGTCGCCATCCCGCCCGACGCTCCTCCACGCGACCTCATTCCCAACAGTTACATCCCTTACCACCCGAGGCAGCGCCAGGTGCAGCTGTCCGCCCTGTTCCTCCCGGCGGACCGCTCGTTCCATCTCGCCACGCTCCCCATACTCAGGCGAATGCGTCGGCTCCAGCAACGGCTGGCTGGCTGTCACCAACGACATGTGTCACGATGCCGCTAGTGTCTGAACCTGAAACTGAAGGAGGCACTAACGATGGCGAAGCGACTGCTGGTGGAGAAATGACCCAGGAGGCAATACAATCGACAAGGCCCAAGAGGAAGGTCCAACCCAATAGCAAGCACCTCGGCCCAAGTTGGACGAAGCCGTAGTTGGGAGACGTTATCTGAGAAAGGGGAGCAGAGGGGAGGGAGGAGAAGGAACAAGGAACCGAACTGGCCGGCTGCGTCCAGATCGATGGCGAGCACCGCTCGATGTATCCCTAAACCCACTCACTCTTCGTGTTGATCCATTCTAAACCAGTGAAATTGCTAGTAGTGTCGTAACAATTGGTATCGGAGGTCACTCGATCTTGCGGGCGTCCGCCGTGGTGATCTTGTTCTCGCTTCGGTGCATCTCCGTTCTCGGTTCGATTGCCTCGATTTGGACTCGTGATCCCCGACGACAGGCTCTCCTCTGTGATTCGCTTTTGTAGCGTTGATCGCAAGGATCCATAGGTCCGTGCCGAGGTTGAGTTGGTTGGCAATCGTTCCCCGAACGAGCACACTGATTTCATTGAGTTCGCCCTGTTCGAGTGTTTCCTGCTTCTGGATCCATTCTGGCGGCAGTCCCAGATTACTTGTTTCGCCCTCAGTATCAAACTCGAGAACAGAAGCGCATCACCCAGATGGAATCTCAACTCAGTGACCTGACCCTGATGCTGAAGGAGTTGCAAGTTCAGAACTCCTCGATTCAGCGCACGCTCAACGATAATCTCACAGTACTGCATGATGTGGGCGTGTGGCATCCGCAGATCGATGCTAAGGTTGACGAGCTTCATGACTCGGTCGTCAATCTGCAGCAGAAGGTGGACCAGCTCGTGGCTCAACCTCCACCAACCGCAGCAGCTTCTCGCATCTACGACATGGAGACCATCGACCTCACGAAGTCCGCGGCTCATCGCCAGCATACGACTTCTTCTGGGGCCACACAACAGCCTATTGGTGCCGGCGTCGAAACCAGTGACCGGGGCATTAGCAACAGGGTGGTCACCACCTTCGTGCCTACCCCGGTCGAAGGTGCACATAATTTCCCTCATCCGTATGTTGGTTCATCGGAGTCTCAGTTACACTTTGACATGACCAAAGCTATATCTCAGTTTGAGTTTCCTAAGTTTGATGGTAAAAACCCAAAGCTCTGGCAAAAACAATGTGAATCCTATTTTGATGTATATGCCATTCATCCTAACATGTGGGTCCAGCTGGCCATCATAAATTTTGTGGGTTCTGTGGCCTTTTGGTCCCAATCTGTAGAAACAATTCTTCAGCGTGCTACTTGGCCTAAACTTTGTGCCACCATTTGTCAACGCTTTGAGCGAGATCAGCAAAGTCACTTAAATCGTCAATTCTTTAGGCTCAAACAAACCTCCACAGTTTTCTTATATATTGAGCAATTTGATGATCTTATCCACCAAATTCTTGCCCATGACCCCAATTTCAGCCCTCATGTCATCATTAGTCGTTTTATTGGTGGGTTGCAAGATAATATTCGCTCTGTAGTACTTGTACATCGTCCTGCCAGTTTGGATGCTGCTTGTTCTCTTGCTCTGTTACAGGAAGAGGTGTTGCTGGATATTCCTTCCAAGGATGGCAAACGACAAGATGGGGGATCATCTACTCGGAGTTCTTATGCAAGAGTGTATTATTCACCAATGTCCCCTCCAAGAGCTTTGGCCGAAACACATTCAACTGGCGCTCAAAAACCTATTGAGCCATCTAAACCATCAGGGTTGGAAGATAAGCTTCAGAACATCAAATCCTATAGAAGGGCCAAAGGATTGTGTTTCAAATGTGGTGATAAGTGGAATCTAGCACATAAATGTGCTACTACTGTAGCTCTAAATCTTGTGGAAGAGTTATGGCAGCTCTTACCTGAAGAAGATGCAATTTCACAGAGTGAGCCTGACAAGCATAGTTTTGACTCAGGTGAAGATTTGATGAAATTGTCTTTGTCTGCTGTGCAAGGTACTGATTGTCATCAAACTATCAGGTTAGCAGGCACCTTGTATCAACACTCTGTGGTATTATTAGTGGATTCTCGCAGTACTAGTAGCTTCATCAGTCACACTTTGGCTAGTTGTCTTCCTAATTGGACTCCATTGCTTAATCCTGTTCAAATCAGAGTGGTCAATGGTACCTTATTACAGTGCACTCATGAGTTGCTTAATTGTCCAGTGATCGTCCAGGGTCATATTTTTTTGGTCAATATGAAGATATTACCCTTGTAGTGTTATGACATCATATTTGGTATGGATTGGTTGAGCCCACACAGTCCCATGGAAATTTATTGGAGAAACAAGTGGCTTTCTTTCAATCATGCTGGTCAAAAGATTCAATTGACTGGATTGCAGCCCAACCTGCAACAATGCCCCACTATTACTGCATCTAAA